AAGAGTACTTTCTGTTTCTCTGTTTCTGTATGGGTGAGTCTGGTATAAATGTGTATCTGTGAGTTTTAGGCTTTACAACTAGGGGTGATTCTTGAACACCGTGATGTGTGGGGTATTTGTGTTTATCATGTTCTTCAGTTTTATCTGAATAACGTGAATTAGAGGGTTTGTTCTGAAAGTGAGTGTTTTGATAGTGAGCATTTTGATGATGTCTAGTGTGAAATCTATCATATCTTGTGTTATGTCTCTCATTTCTTGTTATACCTTGGGGATCTATCTGGTGATCTCTGACGGTTATTGTGGAAGTGCTTCCTTTCATGAAATTTTTTATTTTGTAACCTTTTAGGTCTAAACGAATGACCTCCTTGTATGTTTAAATTGTGGTGTGTTACCTCATTCCTCCATCGATTTTGAATGTTGGGTTTTTTCATATTATATGTACGAACTTGTTTTTGTGCATAGTCGTATTTGTCTCGGTTATATTTCTGGATTTTTATCTTCTTTGTGTCAATTTCAATTTTTTCTACAGTTTTTTTAATTTTTCTACAAATCCAAAGACGGGGATTGTACCGTCCAAGCGCTTCACAGCAGAGCTCTGTTATAGCTCATCCAAATGTGAGTGGACTGTACATAGCCATAAACTATACCTGTTTTTAAGATAAAATTTACTGTATTGCACTATTATTTTTTATCTTAATTCTTTTCCGAGGTTACGACTAATTGGAATATCCAAGGATACATGTATGTATTTTCTGCATATATAAACTACTAGGCGCGGTATACGCCCTCTTTTCTGTTTTTCTATTACTTACTCACAGGGTTGGGGAATCATTGTTTTGTATACTGCTGCCTGATCACTATAGTGAGCGCCTATTATTTTTATTTTTCTAACTCATAATGCAAAGTTGTTATGGTGCTTAAAGGGACCCTTTAAGTCTGATAACGGAAAGGCAGGTAGGAAAATTTCTATTCAATTACCAGGGATTGCAATTCAATTACTGTGCTCGTGTTTTCAGTCTCTTTAACGAGTTGGCAACTGTGAGCCGTGTAATGTAGTGTGTGGTCAGTTCAGAGGAGAAGTGCCCTCTCAGTACGAGTAGTGATATTTCTTTGGGACAGAGATTGTCATTGCCATGAAGGAGGTTCTGATGGCAAGAGCTTCTGACTACTTACCATGGAAGTTCTCGAGAAGAAGGACTAGTGAAAGGATAAATGCTGTTCTGGACTCAACTCCCCTCGATTCTCGCTCCTTCGATCACCACATCAATTGATGGGAGATCTTGTTTAGCAAATAAGACACACAGACACGAAAGAGTGCATAACAAGTTCTCAATGAGTATATTTTCAGGGCTAGCATTTATACACAATTTCTCATGCAAGCAGTGAAGTCTATAGTGTCCTTGTGGTTAATAGTACATACTTGTCGGACATGAAAAAGATAAGCATTTGGATGAAGACGAGACAGGAACATCCTAAGGTCAAGGAAGGTCATACATCCTGTAGAGGAAAGACCTTGGTACAAAATACATCTGCCAAAGTCAGCATAATTATTTCAAACATTATTTTAAAGCATATAAAGCAAAAAGAGTTAACCATTTCACTTCCTTACATCCCCCTCTTTGAGCAATTAATTTGCTCATATCATTGATAAGATCTTCCCAGGTCAGAGAAACCTCCACATGGTATTTTCAGGGGTGCTAGTCACTCCCTGCGGGACTTTCATTAATTTCTTCACCTCGATTCCCATGTGGTAATTCCTAAGGCCCAGTTTTAAAGATGGGTTGATAGCCTCCAGTGGCAGAGAGGAGAATTTCCAATTGTATCTGTTCTGCATTATGGATTAATTTCTGTATTCTCTTCCTCAATGTACAAGTAAGATGGCAGTTATATAAAATCATACCCAATACAATCAGGACTATAATAACAAGAGGATAGAAGAATGATTTCATTATCTGGGATCCAGTAGGGGACCAACCTGTAAAAGCATCGTACCAATGATGGGCTAAATCATTCTGAATTTGTGAACTCACCTTAAGGAGTTCTCCTTTTAGGATATGTGTGGCTACCTGTGTGTGTACTATAGCATCATTATGTGTAACAAGATGTTTAAACATATTTTGTTTTCCTTTCATTAAGGAGACAATAGTCTCAAGAGGTAGATGGTAATCTTTAAAAGGCAGAGAGCCTAATAGGGCATTAATATGTTTGTCTAAAGTGATTGTGTCGCTGAAATAATATTGGGTGTCATTAAGATCTAACCAGGTAACATTAGTCAAACATCCTGAAAAGGGGAGAGGTAGATTAATACTTGTATTACTAGTAATTATCTTTGTAGGGAGGTTAGTTGCCAAACAGATATGTTGTGTGCTTATTTCAGTCATGGTAAAATAATTTTCAGGATATATGTGCCATATGCACTTGTTAAGTTCATTTTGGAGTAAGCATGGTTCATAAATAGGGGACGAGTGTCGACATGCATATCCTTTGTCAGTGAGAACACAGTGTTTAAGGGAATAGGTCATATTATCTTTGGGGAAAATATAGTCCCCTGTGTATGTGGGTGCCCACCAGGTTAAATTCCTGGTAAAGAGATCATAAACTGGTACTGGTAATGTGTTAAATTGACAAGCTAATTTAACATCCTTTGATGATGTATGATATAGTGTAAAATAGCATGAGCATGAAAAATGTGAAACATTACCAGTTAACCATTCATTGCATTTAGTGGATTGGGGTTTTAGAAGTAATCATTCATTATCTGTGAGGTTAAGCATCCCTCTAATCTTCTCTAGTTTAGGAATCATTAGTGTGTTTTCTAATGCCAGTCTTTGTTGTTGCATCCATAAATACCTGATGGCACAAGTACTCCAGTTACCAAGATCTGTAGTGAATTTCATAGTTGCAACAGTTAAATTACCTAAACAGTTATACATTGATGTATCTAAATCCAATCCTGTAACCTGTGATTTAACAACAATTGGAGCCCAGTTTGCAGTAGCATGGAAACCAGTCCCTAAATGCATGCTGGCCGTGTTTAACTTATTCTTGAGGGTCTCCATGTCTATACTATTTAGTATACCCATAGTGGTTCCAGCCAGTGGCGGATCCAGGGGGGGGGCAACGGGGCAATTGCCCCCCCCGAGAATTCCGCCGGTCTCCCTCCCCTGCCAGCACATGCAGGTGCTAGCCCTGCAATGTGCCTGTGGACCGGAAGGGAGATCACAGATCTGCCGGCCGGCGGCGGAGGGAGGGAGTGAAAGGGAGGACCCGGAGCTCAGGCTGCAGCTCCTCCGGGTCCTCCTCTCGTGAGATTTGAAGCGTTGCCGCGGTTACCACGGCAACGCTCCAAATCTCGCGAGAGTGAACTCTAGCCCAGGAGCGCGGGCTAGAGTTCACTCTCCCCATCGGACCACCAATGAATCACCACTGGGACCACCAGGGATCGAAATATGTGTCCCCCTCCTCCCCAGTAAAGGTAAGAAGGGAGGGGGGACATAGGATAATATTTATTTTAATTAAATTAAAAAAATATATATATAATAAAAAAAATCCACACACACACACATATATATTGCCCCCAATACTGCCCCCCCAATACACACAAACTGCCCCCCCATTCACACAAACTGCCCCCCCATACACACAAACTGCCCCCCATACACACAAACTGCCCCCCCATACACAAACTGCCCCCCATACACACAAACTGCCCCTATACACACATACTGCCCCCATACACACATACTGCCCCCATACACACATACTGCCCCCATTAGAAAAACACTTTTACCCCACACTTACACACACACTGCCTCCCACATACACACACACCCCCACAGCCACACACACTGCCCATACACTGAGCTGCAACCACACACACTGCCCCCCATGCACACACACTGCCCCCCATACACACACACACTGCCCCCCATACACACACTGCCCACATATACACACCCCCCCATACACACACAAACTGCCCGCCATACACATAAACTGCCCCCTATACACACAAACTGCCCCCACATACACACATTGCTCCCCCATACACACACACATTGCTTCCCCATACACACACACACACACTGCCCACCCATACACACACACACTGCCCCCCCATACACACACACTGCCCCCCATACACACACATACACTGCATCCCTGACATACACTGCCGCCCTCACTCACACACTACAACCTTCACACACACACTGCACCCCTTACACATTGCACCACTCACACACACCACTGCTCCTATGCCCTACTACAGCCCCATTTCCCAGCAGATCTCAAGTAAGTTGTCAAACTGTTCTAAAACGGTTTGACTACTTACTGTGGGAGGGGGTCCCGGCACTATTGACACCATAACCACTACACTGAGCTGTAGTGGTTATTGTGTCTGGATTATTTCTTTAAATAATCTACAAGTGCCCCTCCCGAGATCAGGCTCTGGATCCGCCACTGGTTCCAGCACCTCCTAACAGTGTGTCATACCATTCCCTTTTCTGCCTTTTGTTTGCTGTGTTACATATTGTTACAACAGGAGTAGTGATTTTTAATGACACATGTACAGCTTGTAAGAAGGCAGTTGTATTAACACATGTGGACGGAATAGGTGTGTGTGTGTCGTGGTTGACTTTTGGTTCTATGATAGTGGATGAAGGACAGTAATAAGGTGTAAAAATATAAGATAGTGTACAGTTCTCATTCGCAGTGTCATTCATAATGACTAACATTTGTCCCCTTTTCCAATTAATGGTACCAGTTGTATAATCATTATTAAAAATAATAAGGCCTGTCTGTTTACATTGATATAATCATTATTAAAAATAATAAGGCCTGTCTGTTTACATTGATATGCAACCTTACTAATTTTCTTATAATATATATCCCAAACCTGTTTAGGTGTTTTTTTTTTACCATCAGAACTTATATTAAATAAGGTGGCACAGATGCTGGTGTAATTAGCAACCTTAACTGTGCACATTTATGCGTTATAAGATCTAACAATTTTCCGTGAACCTTCAAACAAACATAATGCATCGGTTTCATTAGCTGTGGACACATTCCATATGGGTAACTGGTACTTATAAGGGTTATTATTTATCCAGTTCATCCATATGTGTTCAGTCAATGAGTGCTTGCATATTACATGCTGATAGATAGGTGGTGGAGAAAGGTTCTTGAGGGAGCGTGTGTGACGAATGCTAGATGAGGGGCTAAGGCCTAATTGGGCTGGGGGTATTGAAGAATTGTTCATCATGTCAGAGTCATTTCTCCAGAAACAAACAGGTTTCAAACTTCCCATTGACTTGTACTTATAATGGCATTCAAGGAATAATATCAGAGGGAGTATAACAACTCCAGAAAGCATAGCGCACAACATAATCTTGGTCTCAGGTTCGTATGATCCTCTCAATCTACGATATGGTGTGAAAGCCATGATGCTTCGCTAAGGGGAAATTCTTCTCTTTCCGAGTGAGGAGTGGTGTTGTCTTCCTTGGTTCCCCTCTTTGGACACAGCTTCACTCGGGGTGCGTGAATCCAGATGTCGTGGGAATCTGTGAGGACAGCGGTTCTGGTTACAGCAATCACAGTAGCAGGTGGTCCGAAAGGGTATCCTCCTTTCTTGGTCCTATTCAGCTGACTGATATACACCTTGTCACCAGGCTGGTATGGATGAGTAGGTTCCTGTGAAGGTAAGGGAAACTGCGAAGAAACATTGCCATATATACCATTCAGTTTTATCAACAATTCCTGTACATATTGTTCTTGTATTAGCTGTAAATCCCAAGACATTATAACAAGCGGTTCCCTGGCCCAGGGTGTGGGAAAAGGTCGTCCCATCAGAATCTCAAATGGAGATAATTTAGTCACCTTGTGAGGAGTCATTCTTATCTCAGCTAAAATAGCTGGAAGATATTTTGTCCAATTTACCCATGTTCCTGCAGTAACTTTCATAAGCTTCTCCTTAATGGTCCTATTCATCCTTTCAACTACCCCTGAACTCTGTGGATGATAGGGTATATGAAACTTCCAGGTAACTTGCAAGAATTTAGCAAGTTCCTGGGTAACCTTACTAGCAAAAGCCGGGCCATTATCAGAGTTAATCTGCAGAGGGCAGCCATACCTGGGAATAATTTCAGTAGCAAGAATCTTCACTACCGTCCTAGCATCCTCCCTAGATGTCACAAAGGCCTCAGGCCATCTACTAAACTGATCAACTATGACCAGTAAGTATTGCTGTTTCTTACCAATTTTGGGTACATGAGTAAAATCAATCTGTAAGTGTGTAAAAGGAGCAGCTGGAGGGGGCAAATGTTCGTGCTTTGATTTGTGTGGAATATTCGGATGTGTTCTCATACATGGTTCACACAATCTAACAAAAGACTGTACATGCTGCCTGAGATTCCTAATATAAAATGAATTCATGAGGAATTGGATGGTACTTGCTATGCTCTTGTGGCCAGGACCATGGGCCTGACTGATAAAGATAAAACAGCTGGCTTCAGGTATGCCTATCTTCCCCTCTCTAGAGAAAAGATCATTCTGATCTTTTCCTAAACCTTGTTTAATCCAAAAATCAAAGTCAGATTGCGTTGCAAAGGCTTGGAGCTGCAATAGCAAACTGTCAGTCGGGCATGTGGGAGGTGTGAGCATAGCAGGAAACATTTCATAATAAAGAGTCTTGGCTGCAACTTCTTTTGCCACTTTGTCAGCCAAGGCATTACCTCTGGAAATGTCGTCACTACCCAGAGTGTGTGCCTTGCAGTGGATAACAGCTACTTCAGATGGGAGTAGGATAGCATCTAGGAGTGATTGGATGAGATTTGTGTGTGAAATGGCTTTTCCATCGGCTCCTACAAAGCCTCTTTGTTTCCAAATCACACCAAAATCATGCACTACCCCATGAGCATATCGTGAGTCTGTGTAAATGTTCACTCGCTGTCCTGAGAAAAGCTGACAGGCACGTGTGAGAGCATTGAGTTCTGCAGCTTGTGCAGACGGCTGGAAAATAGTGTCAGCTTCAATGAAGAGCCATCCACAAAGACAGTGGTCACATCCGGGCCACTGAGTGCTGTGGAGGAGAGGTCTGCTCTGGGAGATGTGGCAATATGTATTTGTTCAATGCAATTATGAGGCTCAGATGGTATAGACACAGAGTCAGATGCAGAAGTGAGAATAGCATGCAAAACATACATAGGACCAGAATTAACAGGACTATAAACAATAGACAGATTCTGGGTATTAAGAAGAATAATCTCATAACCACTTAAGCGCTGGGCTGTCATGTGTTGTGTGGTGAGATTTTTTATAAGCTGAGTAACCTGGTGACTGGTATGGAGTATTGTAGGATGCCCTAGTGTGATAGTAGTTGCAGTCTCAACAGCCATTGCACATGCTGCCAATGCTCTGAGACACGCCGGCATACCCTGTACCGGAGCTGGAACTACTTTGGAAAAGAATGCTATGGGACGCATACTGCCTCCGTGCTCTTGTGCACAGACCGCGGCCATGGTTTTACAGTTGTCCCGAGCATACAAATGAAATGGTTTACAATACACAGGTAGTCCTAAAGCCGGGGCTTGTACAATAGCAACTTTGAGAGCAATATACGCAGCTAGCATGTCTGGTGACCAGCAGACATTTTCAGGGCTGTCAGAACGTACAGCCTCCCTTAGGATTGAGTCATAATGGGAGCATTCAGGGATCCATTGGCGGCAGTAATTAATCATGCCGAGGAAGGTGAGCAACTCCTTCCGAGTAGTGGGTTTAGGAATCCTCTGAATGACCTCAATACGTTTTGGACTCAATTGTCTGGTGCCTGAAGCCAGAACAAAACCTAAGTAATCAACCTTTGATTTACACAATTGCATTTTGTGTTTTGCAACCTTGTGACCCACAGTTGCTAAGTGTTTGAGCAAATTGACAGTATCCACAGTGCTTGCCTCATAGCTAGGGCTACATAACAATAAGTCATCAACATATTGCAAAAGGACGGAACCATGACCGGGGGTCCATGTTTTTAGAGTATGTTGGAGTACCAGCGAATAAACGGCTGGGGAATCCACATAGCCTTGGGGTAAACGTGTCCAGGTATACTGACAGCCTTCAAAAGTAAAAGCCACAAGTAGCTGTGTCTCTTGATCAATAGGTATAGAAAAAAATGCATTACTTAAATCAATGACAGTGAAGCAAGTGGCATCATGTGGAATGGCTGTAATGAGGGATGTCACATCAGGGACAATGGGTGCAATGGGCACAATTAAACTATTCAGGGCTCTAAAATCCTGAACTAAGCGATAACCATTACCTTTAGGAACTGGATTAATAGGTGTGTTATATGGAGAAACTACTGGCTTTAGTATTCCCTGCTCTAGAAAAGATTGGATCATGGGGCGAACTCCCTCAACCTTGGCTTCTGACAGGGGGTACTGTTTAAGGTAGATAGGAGTTACAGCTGGTTTTAGTTTGGCTTTGTAAGGGGTGCAGTTGACAAATCCTACATCTAACTTAGATGAAGCCCACACAGAAGAAGGAACATCAGACAAATCAATAGTTTCAGAACACAACATAGACACATCAATACCACCAGAGGGCGTGCAAGTAATAGTAGCTCCCAGAATACCAAGAAGATCCCTTCCCAGCAAATTGACAGGACATTTAGGTATTAAACGAAAAGGGTGCATGGTAGAAGAACCATTAAGAGGACAAAAAACAGACAGTGGTGGTGTGACAAAAGTGGGGGTTGACACTCCATTAATACCCAATGAAGGTGTAGACTTTTCCCTTGTCCCCTGATAATAGGTATCACAGAGACTGGAACACGTAGCTCCAGTATCTCCCAAAAATGGCAAGGATCTACCTTCTATGACCAGAATACAAAAAGGCTGATCATCATTAGTAAAGGACAAAAGTGGAAAAGTTGGAGTGTCACCTTCAAGGCAGCCCTATTGGGGCCATGGGAAGTGATGGGTGTGCTGGTCAGTGGTACCTGTGAATGGCCCTAATGCAGTTTGGGTTTGCTGGAGCGGGGGGGGGAGAGGGAAGTGCTGGCCAGTGGTGTTGGGAGTGGGCCTGGTGTTGTTCTTGCCTACCGTGCGTATTTTGAAAATTGTGGGATTGTTGGGGCTGCTGGGGTTTCCTGGGGTGTGGACACTCATTCCTCCAGTGGCCATGCTGGCCACAGTTGAAACAAGTGTTCCTGTCTATTCCTCCTTGGTTACCCCTGCCCCTATAACCCTGATTTCCCTGTCTCCATCCCCTTGCCCCTCTTTGACCACCCCTTCCACAGGCTCTATGTGCTCCATCCCATCCTCTCTCTCTGGCCTGTGTAGGTGGACAGTGTTGCAATCCCTGAGCATAATAAGCAACCTTACTTCCTGAATCTTTTCTTAAATCAAAACAACCTGCATTTTCCTTCTCTATAACCTTGGTAAGAAAATCTGAGCCACCCAAATTGGCCCAGTCTGAAATCAACTGTTTCACAAGCAAAGAATACTGTGGCAACATATTACCAAGGCATAACTGTATTTTAAGGAGATCCATATCATCTCCAGACTTCAAACCTGCCTCATCCTTCCAACACTTGTAAAATCTCTTTACAAAAACACCAATCTCTTCCTTTGCACCTTGCTTACATGCCAAAGCAGTGGATATAGACTGCTTATTCTTCCATAATCTCAACATTTCAGCTTCCACCTCATCCCACATTTTAGCACATCCTGCTGAAGTACTAAGCTCATAAACACCATCACTGCCAGCCACTACAACTCCAGTACCGTTATCTGTCTCACTGATAGAGGGTACATTAGACCAATTCCAACCAGAATCTGAATCATACCCTAATATTCCATTTATAATTAACTGTATGTCTATCTGTGTCATGTTCTGTCCTAAACACATTCTTTTCAGATACATTAGGCATGCAGAGGGATTAGTACGGGGGTTTGGGGCACCTTGAATAATATCCTTGAGTACTCCGGGATTAATGGGTTTCATTATTAACTGATTACCAACAGTCATAAACGGGGCAGTAAGATCAGCACCTTCTAATTCTGGCATCTCTACATCATCATCATCATCTTGCTTATGTACATATGATTTTAACACCTTGCCACTTTTAAGTTTAACTCCTGTTTGTACTGTTAATTTAACTGTACCAGGAGGTGGCGGTGGGTATTCTATATCAGAATCTGGTGTAGATGATGATTCCTGTAATTGCTGTGATTGTGAATTAACAGCTGCAGCAACAGAAATATCCTCCATATCATCCTCTGAGGGGGCATTAGGTACAGCAGGATACATTGCTTTATAGGGAGGTGGGGGTTGTGGTTGGGCATGGCCGGGGGCTAACTGGGTAGGGGGCACAGTTGGTGGTGGATATAAATTATCAGGAGGGGCTTCTATAGAAAAGCAAATAGTATTACTGTCAACAGTTCCCTTTCTCTTAGCCAGGTGTTTCTTAGCTCCCTTTAAAACCTTTCCTGTTACACTACAAGGAAACAAATGAGGGGCTATCAGCAACCAATTTTCACCTCCTGCTTTCATATATTCCTTATCCCAATCTGGATCAGGACCATACCACGGCCATGACTTCCTATCTCCCAAACACAATCCTCGAATCATATTCATATGGAAATCATCATTAGCCCCAGACCTGGGAAAAGGATCAGATGACTTCATAGTCTCTGTCCATCCTGCTAAATTTGACACAAAGGGGATTGTAAGAAATTCTCCTTGTGCTCCTATTCTAGTAACATAATTTAGACATGACTCCCCTGGGTGGGGT